ATATATATATATATATATATATATATATATATATATATATATATATAATAAGATGATATGTGTGAAATTCATTAGGCATATGCCATTAAACCTTCGCCAAAAATTAATATATTAAGAAAGTTGCGCTATACAGATTGGATGGAAGATAAAATATAAAACAAAAAGTTAAACAATCTTCTCTAAATCATGTTTACGACAAAGTATTTTTTTTGGTATTGGTGCAACGGGCTAGTTTCCGCAACTCGACGTCGAGGCGCCTATTTTGCGTATGGTGGGTGCAGGGTCCTACTCGTGCCACCCAAGCTCCTCCAGGAATCTCAACAGCCTCTTCGGTTGTCTGAAGACTTCGGGGAGCGACCTCGGCACTCCAAGGTATTTTGCCCTGTAGTTGGCCACACCAAAGTACTCTAGTAGGATGTGTGCGGCTGTTTCCTCCCCCTCCATGCACGCTCTGCATAGAGGGTTGTCCGAGATACCTAAATACGAAAAAGTATAATAAGTTTAATATCATATAACATCACTATGTTTTACTACAATGATTTTCAATCATTTTTTGTGAAATTACTCCACCGTTTTGTTATAATTATTAATACGAAGATCGAACACAAAGAAAAATTCATTCGATCCGTCTGGATTCGAACCATCGCCTAGACCATACCGAGGCTATCTCTCAACTAAGCTACGGAACAAACCAGCAGACGAAATGAAGAAAAAACTTTTATAGATTTCTCACAGATGGCGTTACGGCAAAAAATTCGTAAAGTCTATCTAATATTTAATATTTTGTGGCAATATCAATAAAAATCGCCTTCGTAAAATATACGTATCCGCCATCTTGTTTTTCTTTTCCTTTTACTTCTATGACTCACTGTTCGACCTCAATTTGAGTCAACATAATCGTTTTATGTCTCTTTTTTTAGGAGTTCATTTAAAAGAAGTAAAATATTGATTAATTATTTAAGTTTTAAATTGTTTTATGTAATATTAAAACATTAAATACACTCGAAAACAATCGATATGCCTATGCAAGCGTACGCCTACATTCGTTCTATATGTATAAATAGCAAAACTTTGTTGTTTACACATACGCGTCAACTTAGCCCGACATTTGATTTATAAATAAATTACTTTTTTCTTATTCATTAGTAAATTTTGTATGTCAAATATTCAATACTACTTTCTAAAAATCTTAAATGGAGTTGATCTGTGTTTTAAGTAAATTATGTTTATTTTAAATATAACAATGACCGACAGTTTGTTATGATGTTGCCAGTTGCTACTATATTGTTGCTATATACTGTTAGCATTTTAACAGTGTTGTTTTAATGTTTCAAATTTGCACATATCAACTAAACAAAAACAGCACTTTCTAAAATGTTTTATTTATTTTATTATATATTATGTTAGTCTAATTCTTTTGTAAGTAAACAATAATTTATTCTAATTTTCATTATTAATTAATAATAAATTTAACCTAATAAAAGTTCCTACCGATAAAATAAAAAATTTATAAAACATAATGTAGGGTAAATTGGAATGTTTCTTTTTAAAATGAAAAGTAAGGTATTTAATTAATAAGTTTTGTAAATATAGTGAAAAAATAGGACGCTTTGCATTAATATTAGACATAACTGGTTGATGACTGTACCACCTCAGTAAACCGTGACCTGTAAACGGCCCGAAACGTTGGTTTATTTGAAAAAACAAATATACGCGATTTAAATCCGGATAACAGTTTCATTTCCCATAAACAATAGTCATTTATTAACACGTTCATGGACTTGGTACTTAAATAATACCTCAGACAAAATTATTTCTACTCTTCTTGCTAGTTAGCTTTATATTTATTCAATATGAAATGGTCAGTGTAAATCATTGCATTTTGTCAGTACGTTGAAAGAGCACTTTGATCTCGCATTGTAAAGCCCGTAGTTGGCTTTTTGAGATCCTTATAGCGAAACGAAGAACCCCGTACACACATATATATATTCTGATATACCTTACCCATTTCTGCCACCAAGCAGTAAAGTGAGCATTACTGCGTTCCGGTTTTGAAGGGTAAGTGTATTTTTCTTTTTTTTTTTGGTATGGTGAAATTACAGACACATGGGACTTGTCAACTTATGTCTATAGTCCATTTCACATAGGTTGATGGTCTGGAAATCGGAAACAACGACGGTACCACAAACATCGAACCCGAAACAACATATCAAAGTTTGTTTCCTAAATTGCTCCGGCCGAGGATCGAACCTGGGAGAGATAGTAAGTGTAAACCACTAGACGACAGAGGTTCTCAAAATATGATTCTCTCATATTGCGTCAAAGAACGTTCATTTTTAATTCCAAGTATTCACCATTATCTCCCATGACTTTCGTATCAGCTTTGCCGTGTATGCGATACAATGAATATTCATCGGGCAATTAAAAAGAGATTGTTGTATAATGAAGAGTGAATCGACATGGTAATCCAAACTTCTGTTGTTTAGGATAACACGAGGAACTATTCTTAGCATACAATACAACACAAACATTCTTGCACACAATAGCAAAACACAGTGATAGATAAAAGACAGAGTATAATAGGCAGCGTTATTGCTTTGTAGCAATCCTTTCTGGAAATATGTTACGTGTAACTACTTACGGTTTATTGATTCACTCACACTGAAATGACCTTTGTTTCATAGACAAGCAAATCACATTTGAAATCACTAGTAGCAGTAGAGCTCCTTGTGAAAGAGGGTGTCGAGGGAAGTTCTGCCATCTTACCTATTTTTGCCGCCAAGCAGTAATGGGAGCATTACTGTTCCGGTTTTGAAGGGTAAGGGTGCTGGTAAAATTATAGGCATATGGGACTTGTCGACTTATGTCTGAGAGTAATGAGTACAGATCAGCAGCCCTCAGATCTTTGCGTTTTAAAG